ACCAACGCACGTTCAAATTCCAAAACAGCAGGGAAAAACCCAAGAAAGAACCAATGTGCTTAAACAACAAATGGCTAACCACCGAATCCAAAATAGATAATTACTTTGCAAGGTTCTATTCCCACAAGCCAAGGAAACCCCTTTTGTTAGAAAATTCTCAAGGGATATAAAGATACAAGTATGAGAGTTTTGTGAAATTATGGAAGACACAACAACACCAAATAATGTACTTACTGAAACATTCAGACCTTGCAAACATAATCCTGCGATAAAACAGCTCAAGTGCAAGAAGTCTCCTGGCGAAGACGGTATTCATCCAGAATTTCTAATTAATTTGAGACCAAAAGCCAAGGAAACCATGCTGACGCTTTTCAACAAAATCTGGGAGACCAGTCTCGTACCTAACCAATGGAAGGTTGCCATAGTAATACCAGTACTAAAAAAGGGCAAAGACCCTAGCAACTTTGACAACTATAGGCCTATCTCCATCACAAGCGTGCAGGCTTAACTTATGCAAAGAAGGTTTAACAGAAATCTGACCTGGTTCTTTAAGACGTACAATATTCTTAAAAAATGAACAAGCAATTTCTTGGACTCGAAAATCAACGAACCAACATGTGGTCACTTTTTCCAACACATCAAATATGCCCTTGATGCAAATAATTCTCTTGAGGCTCTATTTGTCTGTTTCAAATCTGCATATGACTTAGTATGGAAAGAGAAACCAATTTCAAAATTGACAAAGATTGGCATTAAGCTTAACATGCTGAACTAGATAAAAGCATTCATTGAACAAATATCGTGTAAAGTCAGATATGAAAATATTCTATACAAATACAATCTTTTACAAACAATGGAAATGCTCTATCAAAATCCAATCTTTTACAAACAGCTTAAATGCTCTATACAAATACAATCTTTTACAAACAAGCCTTCCACAGGGAGGTGTCACAAGCTGCACTCTTTTCAATGTCTTCATCAATGCTATAGCCGAATTAGTACAGACAGTCAAGAGCATCAATTGCTTACTTTATCCAAATAATCTTGTTCCTTAAAATTGCGCCCATAAGAAAAAACGCTCAGTAGAGGGCGAATATTGCCCTAAAATATGCAATAAAACTACTAGCAAACTGATGGGACAACAATGAAATGGTAATCAACACCGCGAAATCTACATTCCGAACATTATATTTGGCCTGTTGCAGCATAAACCCGCTTCTAATGTACAAGGATACTACCATAGAAAAAACCAAAGAGTTCACATATCTCGGAATGACGTTTGACACAAAGCTAACGTGGAAAAGTCACATTGCTAAAATAGCAGAACGAGTCTCCAATAGACTGAATGTACTGAACCGTCTTGCTGGTAGCGTATGGGGCTGTGCACCCTCAACTCGCGAAACCACTTACAAGATGTTTATTCAGCCAATGATGTTGTATTGCTGTGAGCCACTCATTACAGCCACAGAGGAGATTCTCAAACCACTCGAGAAGGCACACAACCAAGCATTACGAATAATTACTGGAGGGATAAAATCAGCACCCATTAATGAAATGCTCCTAGTTACACCACCAGGAAACACCACAATATTTTCCCTTTTCAAAGAAAAGGTCTTGATCCTGTATGAGTAGCTTCTGCGCATGAAAAGGCCTTGATCCTGTATGAGAAACTACTGCGCACTCATTGGACAATGTATGAGAATCTACTGCGCATTCCCATGGATAAGTTCTTCCAGCACCTATGAGAATAGACCAAGACATCTGAAAACGCAAGCTGCACCTATGAGAATAGATCAAGACATCTGAAAACGCAATCTGATCTAATACAGAAAGTCATAGAATTGAAGAAAGCATTACAAATCGATGATAAACCAAAAAGCCTTAAAGCATTACAAATCGATGATAAACCAAAAAGGCTCTCTCACCCTATGAACTAGCAGACATTGATGTAGTGTGTCGCACCCAACTGCTCGACGTCAGACATCTCCCCATGAACCCATTAGCAGACCCAAAAAGCCTCTCTCTACCCATGAACCCATTAGCAGACACTTCTCACCCTATGAACTCATTAGCAGACATTGATGTAGTGTGTTGCACCCAACTGCTCGACTTCTTCAGGAAATCAAACACTCCGCCAGAGCAAATGCGCTAACTGGCCCTTGAGTCAACCAATGTTAACTATATTTCAGATCAATGGCTCCAAGTCTTCAGTGACAACTATCCTGTAGATCAATGGCTCCAAGTCTTCACTGAAGAGCAGATCAATGGCTCCAAGTCTTCAGTGATGGATCATACATAGAAAACCAAGCAAACGTTGGTGCAGGTGTCTATTCTCAACATTATAATAGCACTTAGCCAATTATATTGGCTGAATACGAAATCCAACAATGTAGTGAAACTTTCGGACTCACAGTCTGCAATAAACCCAATTTGAAACAGAGAGCCATCCAAAACAGCTGGGATAAAGGAACGTAGAAAACTCTATGAGCTGCTGAGAGAGAAAAACAAAACAGTGGTCATACAATGGACTCCTGGTCACTGTGGCATTAAAGGCAATGAGCTTGTCGACACACTTGCTAAGAAGGGGACATCTATTTTGCAATGCATGGACCGGCCGATGTCTTTCCACACAATGAAGGCCTTAATGAGAAAGGAATTCAAGAGCTCAAGGCGAACGAACTTAAATCTCGAAGAAAGGAGTGACACTGGGCAGTGGCACTCTCCGAAATAGCCAACTGGCCAAGGATCGAAGCTGTTGCTGAGTTTTGATTACGTACCGGACACGATTGCCCGGTAAAACACTTTTGCAGTTTGGGAGTATACACTCAACCCACATGTTCTCTATGTAACCGACAGGAGGAAATGGATAAGACTCGCCTGATTCGGTGTCCAGCCCTAAAGACAAGGACGGAAAGCCAGAGATACTGGGGAGCAAGAAGACAGCTAATGAACTGCTATTAATTAACTGCTATAGATGTACCCCCCCCCCCTTGGGGGAAGCTGAAGTCAAAGATTTAGGGGCTAATGATAACTATCACAAAGCCTGCCATTTGAAAAAATGTTCGTCTTAGGTTGCTCCAAGTAGAGGACATCATTTTTAAATTTTCAATACAAACGGTTTTGGTTAAGTAAAACGAAGCGGTAGAATCGCTACAAAGTTTATCGAAAGATTTTTTCGCTTTCCATTTCTGAGCAATTGCCAACTGGTTTTTTCATTCACCTATCAAC